CTTTACGAGGTCATAACATAAAAATGTTAAAATAGTTTTTTACTAAATAATTTTATAGATGAATTTTATTCGAGTTCATAATCATAGAGTTTTTTTATTAAGTGCTATTATTGTCCCCTTACCTAAAAAATACTTAGACCTTTAGAGCCCAAACTTAATGGGAAATTTTTACACAATACATTAATTACGGTAAAAAAACGTTTACATTACAGGTTAAATGTATAAACAACATTCCTCTGTTTTGTATATTTCGCTGTGGTATACCACAAAAGTTTATTAATAGATATTATAAACTTTTTTCAGTAGTTGATAAAAAAATTTTAAAAATTGATTTGTATTGCTCAATTTCTTTTAAAAAGCCAAACATTAAAAACTCTCATAAAGATAATAGAGCTTTATTCTGCCTAATTTGTTTTTCAAAAGGATCAGGAATGACAAAAGTCAGAGAAAGAAGTGTGACATTTAACGGAATACATAAGTTCTTTTATAAATCATTTGATTATAATAATGAAAACTTTCCTAATGGCATGATTTCTCAAAGGTTTAAGTAAGTATACTTACCAGAAACCAATCATTCTGTGTTTGTGACATTTATGAAATTGCTCGAACAACAATTATTCCAAGATCAATATCTGAAAATAGAAAGGGAATCAAGTTAGGAAGAGTAAAGGTCACATCACCTGAAAAATAAAACATCACCTGAAAAATAAAACATCACCTGAAAAATAAAATGGAAGAGTAAAGGTCACATCACCTGAAAAATAAAAATATACAAAATGATATGTAGGGTTGTTATTGGAAGAGGATTACCCCACCCTTGCTCACTCACAACGAGAATAAAAAATTTAACAGAAGAACTTGATAAAGGTAGGGCAAACCTTTTATTTTTGATTTAATATTTCAAATTTAAAATTAAGAAATTTATATAAAACATTTTAATTATAAAAACTATAAACATGGATGTTAATTTTTTAATATTAAAATAGACAAGGCGCCAAACTTCAATGTTCAAAAGTATTGAAAAGAAAATTTGAGGAGAAGAGAAATAAAATCAAGGTTGCAGACAAAAAGTAAAACCATTGCCGTTGAACAAACAAAAAGTTCTTCAAAAGCGCTTTTTCCAGTTAAAAAAATCCCAATTTCGGAAATAAAAAACTTTAAAAACACTTGTGGACAAAGTAATAAACAGGGAGCCAAAGCTTTTAGTATATTTAGAAGCTTGAAAGAAAGAGAATTATTTTAAAGCAGTGTAAGAGAGAAATTAAGTGAAGAAGATGATTTAAATGATTATATTGACGTTAAAGAAATGATTTTTAAAAAAGATTCCAGATAGTTGGTTTATAGTAAAAACAGTCAAGGACTTGTTGAGACAGTAATAAAGGAGAGAAATTTGTCAAAAGATTACATTCTAAAGGTGGTCAATTGACGTTGGAGACGGATTTTTAAAATTTTGTTTAAATATTATAGAAAAAGTGACAGAATCAAAAAAATCGTTATGTTACGAATAACTTTTATTCATTGATCTTTTTTAAAGTTTTTATTTTACGCGAAGGCTTTAAATAAAATCAAAAATTTGTTATAATGATCGTTTAAAAATAAATGTATTGTGTGTAATTAAACATTTTAAAAGATCAGTTTTAAAGTAATTTTTTTCAAGTGCAACATAAAAAAAAGTAATTTCTATTTCGAGTTTTTTTAATTTTATTTTAAAGCTATTTTATTTTCTTTTTCGTAAGGAATTGTTTTGCTTATTCTTTATTTTTTTTTTTTTTTTTTTTCTTGTTTAAGTTAAGGTTAACATTTCTTTTTCAGCGCATTTCTAAAACGTTTCAAACATCTAAACGTATATCTGTGTAAATAAAAAATTAAGATTGCATATAAAGTTTATAAATATTTTACTTGTTTAATAATCAAAAAAAAAAAAAAAAGGCTGAATCTCATTTAAATCTTGAGAAAATTACTGTTTTTTGTGTTTTTGATATGAATTGGCCAACATATTTTTTGGACTTAAAAGTTCACCATCAATACATTGTTTTCCTTGGTGTAATATTAGAAAAGAAAAAATGCAAGATTTTGAAAATCATGGTGAGCTCAGAACTTTAGGAAGTATCCGTTCATTAGCTAATGCTTACAAAGCCGCCTGTAAAGATTTATAAAAAAAACTCAAGCTTTCAGCTGTATCTTATATTAATTGCGTTAACCTTCCACTAGTTGATCTGCCTGATAAAGTTATTAAAATCCTTGCTCCAATGGAGCTTTATTCACTTTCTAGAAATTATAATAATCTTGAAAAATATTTGCAACCTATGGATACAACTTTATCGGCAAACTAGTGAAACCAAATTTTAGGTTTTAGCCTCCTAAGTTAAGACTTTAGGGGTAAACAAATTCGCAACTCTTCCTCATCTATTAGGCTGGCGCAGATTTATTTATAATATATTGTTTCCAGTTTAGGATGTTGAATGCTGGATCTTCTTGACTCAATGCATGGGTTTTGCTTGTTTCTCTGTTTTTGCTGCAAACTGCACGGTGGTCAATTTAAAGGTGGAGAACGTTTGAAACTACTAAAAAAAATATTCATGTCTCATAAGAATTAATAAAATCTTTTAAACTGAAAAAAGATGAACATATCATTTCTATAATTAATTCCCTTAAATGTTTAATATCTGTTAAAGCTGCATGTCTTGGTTCTAGTTTATTACCTGAATATGAGTCAAGCATTAACAAATACAAAAATGCTTATGTTTAACTTAGTCAACAAGTTTCACCGAAAGTGGATGCTCTTATCAAGCATACATATGAATTTTCTTTCACTTATGTCAAAATCTAATCCAAATATAGGATTGGGGGTTTTTGGTCTGAACAGGCTTCTGAATCTGTTCATTATGATTTCATACAATTTCGGGAGAGTGGAAACAAAGTTTTTAGTAGCCTTAAAGACATTCGACACTGTCAATCATGAAATCTTTCTCCAAAAATTGCAAAAATAGTGAATTTTGAATTCCAATTTAAAATGGTTTTAGTTTTATCCAACAGAAAGGATAGTTACCATAGTTACCATAGCTACCATAGTTACAGCGCTACCATAGTTTAACTTTTGATGTAAATTTAGGTACAGATAAGTTTTGGATACTAATTCCAAGAATGAAATCATAAGTATAACTGATTGCAGAAACAATATAAACAATATCTTTATGATTTAGTTGTAATAACTTTTTTTGACATTAAAGAATAGATTTGAAAATATTGTAAATTTTTGTTAGAAAAACTTGTTTATGCCCAAAGATAGCACATCAAGAAGAGGAGTATAAATAGATTACCCGTAATCTTCTTCCGTTGTTTGTAAAGATATATATTCACGGTAAAACTACCATCTTTTTAAGTATTGTTTTTTCCGCTATTCTAAAAATTTTCTTAAACAATTCTTTGCAGTTTTCTCTTTTTTGTTTTAAAACAATAAACAAAGCTTTATTGCAATATTTCACTTTAAGTAAATCTAAATGTTTTTTGAAACTGAGCCCATTTGTTAGAGAGAACACATGTACAGCACAACCTAAAGACATAATAAAATCCCTTTCTCTAAATGATATTATTAAAACTCTTGATGTTCTGTCATTCTATTTAAGAATAATTTTTCCTGTGCATCAATTGTTTGTGGAATCTCAATACTAAATTTTAGCAAAGCGTCATCTCTCTCAACCCATTGTCTGTGGAATCTCAACACTAAATTTTAACAAAGCGTCATGTCTCTCAACCCATTGTCTGTGGAATCTCAATACTAAATTTTAGCAAAGCGTCATCTCTCTCAACCCATTGTCTGTGGAATCTCAACACTAAATTTTAACAAAGCGTCATGTCTCTCAACCCATTGTTTGTGGAATCTCAACACTAAATTTTAACAAAGCGTCATGTCTCTCAACCCATTGTCTGTGGAATCTCAACACTAAATTTTAACAAAGCGTCATGTCTCTCAACCCATTGTCTGTGGAATCTCAACACTAAATTTTAACAAAGCGTCATGTCTCTCAACCAATTGTTTGTGGAATCTCAACACTAAATTTTAACAAAGCGTCATGTCTCTCAACCCATTGTTTTTTGCAAACTAAAAGTAATTGTGCTTTTTTATAATAAAATTTTCTTTTGCAGAAGCATTAAAAAAATCAAAAACTTCGTCAATAACACACAAACAATTATGATATTCAAACAAAAATAAATTAAAAAGTTATATGATTTATGGACTTGCTGAAAAAATCTAAAAATTGTTTCCCCCCTCCCCCTCACTTTATGGTCTGGATGCGCCCCTGGAATCAGTATGTTTTTGTAAGTCTTCAAAAAATCTAAAAAATTAATCAATATTTTTCAGAACTAATGTTTACACTTCAAGATTGTTCATAATTAGTACAATTAATAATATTACATAAACCCATAACAATAATAATAATAACAATAATGAACAATAGTCATAAAAATCAATTTTGAGACTGCTTTACGCTTTATCAGTTAAAGCAGTTGCAAACAGTTTTAACCAATAAAGCATAACATTCAACCACAACATCAAACAGTTATGTTAACTAAAAATATGAGATAATAAATAATATAAATAATAATAGATGTTAATTTCATTTAATTTTTTTTCTTTTTTGTTTTTTGTCTTTTATGGAAATTTGTCTTTACAGTAATCTTTATCTTAAAGCACGCTTTTAACGTCGACAAAAAAGTTTATTAGTGTTTTTTAGTACTATTATATATAATTAGGCGTATATAGCTTTGTTTGATAATAAAGCATTGTAAAACTGTTTTGTGGTACGAAAATGTCATATCCGGGCTCTCTTCTAGTATTTAGGTGTTTTTCGTTTTAAAGTTTATCTGCAAAGAAAAGTTTATTTTATTTTTACTTGTCTTTAATTTGCGTTAAAATAAAAAAGAAAATGGAAAGATCTACTTTAAAATTTCAAAAATGATTGGACGAAAAATTTAAGATCCGCACCGGGTGTCAATGACTCATAATGCCACTGAATAGTTTTCCAAAAATGTGAAAACTAATATGTATTTTTTTGATTTTAATATGAACAGAAAAGTTAACTTTTTAAAACTTTAAAAAAAATGCTTTTTCTCGATTGTTCAACCAGAAACACAGTGCAGGTACCGTGCAAAGTTCAATTGAAAACAATAATGGCGGACAGTTCAGCGTCGAGTGCTGCTGGACCTAGTTCTCAACAGCCAGAAGACGATTTAAGTTTACCACGAGGTTTTAAAATTCGCCATATATATAACTTTTATTTAATTTAAAAATATATTATATATGTATAAATATATATATATATATGTATATATATATATATATATATATATATATATATATATATATATATATATATATATATATATATATATATATATATATATATATATATATATATATATATATAATATATATATATAATATATATATATATATAATATATATATATATATATATATATATATATATATATATATATATATATATATATATATATATATATATATATATATTTAAAAGATTATAATGTAAACATTAAAGACCGTCTATGCCAATTAACACCATAATTATTCAGTAAAAAAATTAAGCTTAAATTTTACATCTGAAAAAGAATTTTTTAAATATACTATCCAAAAATAGTCAATTTTAATTTTGAACAACTTCTTTTAAACTTTCTGACTTAAAATGTGTTACAAATAATGTGAAAAAAGTACACAGATTTTTTTGTTTTTAATAAATAAAGTTATAATATTTTCTATAAATAATTAAATATACATAACCTTCTTTGAAAAGGTTAAATGCTGGTTAACTAAATAAAACAATGTTTCTATTGTCTCGCAATGATGCCAGAGAACTAATGGGCTTCATATTATTTCATAAGGCTTTATGGAACATTACTAAACACATTAAGTTTTGTTGTATTTTGTAGCATATATTTTGAATTGCCTAATGCAAAACTAAACAATTTTTATTTATACAACAAATCCACTGTTGTGATATATCTATATACTTTAGATTCAAACCTTAGATCTGTGTTGCTTTGTATTTAGATAATTTTACTCAATGAAACTATTAATCATTTTCATCTTTAATTTTGGATGTTTATATATAATGAATTTACATTTAATAAAAAGTAAAAGTAATTAATTAAAACAATAGTTATTGTTGTTAAAGTTTTAGTGAATTTTGAATATTCCTAGTACTTTGAACTTAGTAATTAAGTACAAATATTATTTTTCAAAAATTTTTAATTTATTATATAATATATTTTTTAATTCTAATAATACAATATAGTGGTATGAGAATTTTTTAATTGAAATTTAGTATCTAAGCTATCATGGTTGCTAATAAAAGATTTCCAAATTCATAGCTTATAATACCTTAAGCAAGTAATTTTAAACAAGCAAATTTTAAAAATGAATTTAGTTAAATTTAAGCAAAGCATAAAAGACTATAATTTAAATTGTTAAATTTAACACTAAAATAATTGTAAAATTTTTAAATTATAAAATTAATTCAGGAGTTCATTTTGATGTGTAGAGTTAAAATTTTTTTTTTTTTTTTAGGTTTTTTAATAAAAATTTTTTTTGGTAGTTCTTTTGATTTTTGTGTATGTTTTTTAGAAATTTTTTGTTTCACTTTTCAAAAAATGTTTTTATAATTTCTAAAAATTTTTAATTAGTTCTCTGTTAAAGTTTTTTAAATTTAGTATTAGATCATATTAATTTTTTCGTTCACTAAAATAATTTAATTATTCAGCTAATAGTGAAACACATTTACAACAATGTATCAAATTTACTGTCGATATTATTATAATGCATGAACTAGTATGTTTAAGTATTTAACAAACGTTTTCAATTTTTGTTAAAAAAATAGTTTAAATAAATAAAATTAGTTCAAATAAAATTTCAATTCAACCTTGTCAATTTAAACTAAAAAATATTTTATATAAAATATTGAAAATGGTAGTATTTTTTCTTTCCATCAGTTAAACTTTAATAAAAATTTTTATTAAAGGTCAATCAACTGTTAAATGTAAAACAAATAAAATTTAAACTACAAAAAAAATAAAAAAATTCTTGAAATTATTATAAATTGAATGTTTGAACAACCTCATTTTATATGATTTAGCTTGTAGTATTAGGAATGGTATTATGTATTATTTATTATTAAAAAAATAAAAAATAGATATTGAAAAAAATATATATTAGATATTAAAAAAATACGAAGTAAGTTCATGTTATTACCTAACATAAAATATTAACAAATGTTATTTAAAACAAAATAAGCGAATTCACTAATATTAGAGTTTTTTTATTACTAATAACAAATACAACATTTTTTTCCCCAAGAATACTACAATACAATAATATTTTTTACATAATTAAAAATACTAATATCATCTCTGCTCTTTTAATTTGCAATTGCAGAAATATATTTAAAATTAAAAGGAGATCTAAAAATAAAATTAAAAAAACACAACTCATTAAAACTCTACAAAGTAAATAAAACATTATATTATAGTGTCATGAAAAATATTTGAATCTTCAAAAACTATTTTAATCATCTAGACTGGTTTCTTAGTTTAATGCATGTGTGTTTGAGTTTTTAAAATAAAAGTATTTTTAAAAAATGTTTTTTTATTTTGCTAACTACTTATAAAAAGTGCAAAGAAACTTAAGGTTTCAACCAGTTTATTAAAAGTTTTTTTTTTTTTTTTTTTACAAATATGCATGCAGTATGGTGATTTGACATGTTTTATTCTCACTTGTAAAGTTTTAATTGACGTGTATACCAAGTAGCAAAAAGACACTTTGTGCATTTTTTATTTGTATTTTTAATAGAGTATTTATTCTGTGATATACCCTTTTATGGACAATATGTCTAAGTTGAAGAAATCAAGCTGAAGTCCCATTTTTAGGTAGAGATTACCACAATAATAGTTTTTATTCAGTAAGCATCTTAAACAGTCATACAAAGCTTATAATGTTTTACTTCAGATTGAAAAATTAAACATTTGTCAATTTTTATTGATTCAGCATGAAAAAAACCAAAAAAAAAAAAAAAAAAACCAACAAAGGCTTAAAGGCACATTAAATTAAACGGAATTATCATTTTTTGGATTTTTCCAGATTTGGAAATAATCTCTGGATTAATTTCAAAATTTTTAACAGTTGTGTAAATTGCTATCTTATCCAATCAGGTTTTACTTCTTACTTAATAAGCAAGAAACCGCTGCTCAATAGTAATAAAAGCATTTCCATTAGGATCACTAATAATTGACTTAAGTAAGCGTAGTAAATGAAGTGATTTTATTGAACATGTTTTATTTGTTTGTTGCTCTTTGCTTATATTTATGCGGTTATATAAATTGATGGCGATATTTTTGAGCCAAAATGAGCTCTTGGCATAGAAATTCATTAGAAATATATATATATGTGTGTGTATGTATATATATATATATATATATATATATATATATATATATATATATATATATATATATATATATATATATATATATATATATATATATATATATAACTCTCTGTTAATTATATTATAAATGTATTTCATAAGAAATATATTATAAAAAATATCTTGTATGGGGATTGGAATCTTGGTCCCATATCGCTTATTTTTTAGCCATTATTTAGATCTAAAGTGGCTTAATGGTTGCTAAATTGTTTTAGCAAATTTTTTTCTGAAGATGGGAAAATAAGAAAAGAAGTCATTTTTAGTAAAATCTAGATTGTTTGAACTCAGGGAGTAATTAAAAATAAACTCAAATACATGTTTTTTGACAAACAAGGAAAAGCTTTGAAGAGAAAAAAGTTGTGTGTACTACCCAGGACATACTGGGGATTGAGAATTTTTTATTTACAAAACAAGTAATTTACCACTTCACCTCTACCATTGTTCATTGATTAAGTATTTAAAAAATACTTCTTTGTTAAAATCTCTATCAAATTTTTTGTGTAAATGTAATGCTCAAAATTGAAGATGCATTTTTTTTTTTTTTTTTTTGTTACTTTTAAACAAAATTTTTATGATTTGTATGATTAAAACTTTAGCGGCTGTCAACAAAATGATCAAAGAAATGGTGCCATTCATTAGAGTTTCAAATGATGCTAGAGAACTTGTTCTTAACTGTTGCACAGGTTTTTATTTTAATCCTTAAATTTCAGGGATGCGGTGTCCCAAACAGGGCTCCGGATTTGAAAGTCACAAATAGATTACTTCTTCCTAGTTTTTGGTATTCAGGAGCTCATAAAAACTATAAAAAAGCTAATGGATTACTTATGGGAAAAAAGTAAGACTTTTAGGTTTGAGGAACAATCAACTTCTAAACCTGGAGTCCTTAGGTATAATGGTAGCAAGTACTCCGGTACTCCAGGCTTAAAAACAATAAGTTCCAAGTCATTAAGTTTTATGAATTTTTAACTTATAGTAGATTATAACTCACGTGTTTAAAGCTTCTTCGCTAAAATAATTTAATTATTCAGCTAATAGTGAAACACATTTATAATAATTAAATTATTTTAGTGAACGACACCAAAGACCAGGAAAAATTAAAGATATAAAGCTGTAATCCTTTTAGGACTTTGTATCCCTGTTAAATTTTTTATTTATTTGTTATTTATCAAATGTCAATTTTTGCTATATGATATTATTATTATCACATTAATTCATTTGATTTCAAAAGTTCAATTTAATTTATAAGTATAAAAGTTTCATGGGTTTTCTAATTTTTATTTTAAATGCTGATGATATTTATGTATTTCTATAAATTATATAAGTTATTATAGTGTTTATTATTGGATTAATAAAATGTTATTGTCAATTTCTTTGTTTTTTATTTTTTTTATTTAGGTGTCCTTTGTTTGACTATTTTTTGATAATATAAGTGACTTCTAACCTAATTTTAAATTTGTAATATGTTTACAATATTTATTTACAATAAATTAAAAGGTTAATGTTAAAGTCTAACCTAATTTTAAATTTGTAATATGTTTACAATATTTATTTACAATAAATTAAAAGGTTAATGTTAAAGTCCGGTTAATGTTGTTAAAAGTCCGGTTAATGTTGTTAGGTTCTTATTTATTATAAAATGTGTTATGCAATAAATTTGCTATGCTAGATAGTTCATTTAACCCTAATCTGTTGCAGTGCTCAGATAAATAATTATGTGAACTTATCTTTTAAGAATTCATTCATTTAATTGCATCAGAGGCAAATGAGATATGTAATAAACAGACAAAGAAGACAATTTCCCCAGAACATGTAATTGCTGCTTTAGAGGTATTTTTCTTTTTAATTTAGTTTTATGTAGATTTTCATACCTGTCTGCATAATAGATAATAAGTTTATAAAAGACCAAATTTAAAGATCTACACTTAGGCGAGGTATACTTCAAGACCTTGTTAATTGCTGGGAAATATTACATTTAGAGTCTGGGTTTTCAGAGCTACATCCAAGATGTTGAAGGTGTTTATCAACAATTTAAAACACAAGCACAGGTTGTTATATTTGATTCATTTTATGCTAAATTTTAGTTTAATTTTTTTATTGTCTGATTACCACATAAATTACTATATTTAAAAGCTTTATTTTTGGAAATCCTTATTTTATGCAAAATCGAAAAAAAAATCTGCATTTATTTGGATCACATTGATTTTAAAAACTCATACCTCAAAATAAAATTTTAATCTAAATCAAAAGGTTAGCTCTTTGGTCTTTTTTGATTCTTAAAGTTTTTATAAGTTTTAAATTATAAATGCACCTGTTACTCATATTAAAACTCTTTGCTTCTATTTTCAAATTCTATCCCAGGCCTCATTTATATTATTTTTTCTTACACTTAAGTTAGATCACGCATCCTTATGATCACATATCTTATTTTCGCAGTTTTGCAAAATTCTTTTATTAACCCACACTTACAAGTGGATTAATAAATATTCATCTATGTTTGTTGATATGTATCCTCACTTATGTTTGAAGTTATGTGTAAATTAATAGGTATCCTCACTTATGTTATTATGTCATAATTATTTCAAAAAGGATATTTAATGTTCTCTTCTTGAATGAAAAAAGATAAAGGGTTCAAAACTAAATGCTCTACATATAAATATAAATTATATATATTATTTAAAGTATTATCAACCCTTAATAAGTGTTTGCACTTTTTTGGACTGCTAGCAATAGGTGTACAGTCTGCCTGTTCAGTCTCGCCTGTTCTCAGCACACTATAGCTTAGGGGAAAAGCGAAATTTTAAAGAGGTTTTCCTTAAAAAAATTTTGATCAGAAAAAGTTTTGATACCCAAATATGGACTTTTAGAAAATGCAAAAACTAGTAAAATCTAATTTGTCACATGTCCTTCATTTTATTTTACATTTTCTTTTTCATTGCGATAAAATATTAAATGCAAATAATATTTTTAGATTGTTAAAAGTTTTTTTGATACTTTTCAAAATCATTATCTTGCATGGATCCTATCTGCAGTGCAGATTCTGCATTTTTTTAGAGGGAGGAGGAGGGGGTCTTCAATTTTTTATGAAGCTTTAATGATTAAAAAATTTGATCATAACAGTTTATTATACTTTCACCAAAAAACACGTAGTTTATCCCCTATATTACCCCAACAATATTTTGATAGAACTACTAAAATACTAATAAAAACACAAATAAAATAAAAATCTATTGAAGTTAAAAATTTAATAAAATTTCTTTCTTTATTTTAAAAACAGGTAGCAACTCTCTATGTTGAGCTCTAGCTGTAATATACCCATCTCTTGCATCTGGTCCAACTACTGACATGGGTGCTACTGTCACTTTTTTTGCAGCATGCTCAGTACTTTGAGTATGAATTTTAATCAAAGCAGTTATTAAAGGTATCAATTTTAAAAATAACAACTTATCTTTGGTGAGCGAACAAGTAAAAACAGGTTGTTGTACATCACCATTTTCCCATTTAACTAGCTCTTAAAGAGTAGTTGCTGCAGAGTTAAGTTTAGGTGTTTTTCTTGGTCTGATTCGCATCTCCAAGGATATCATTACCCCTTAGTTTCAAAATTCGATCAACTGCAAAATTGCGATCTTCTGCATTATTGCTAGATAATAAAGAGATTAGTATACTTTCATGGTTTGCATACCAAGCTCCTTACTGGATGTAGAGAGTCACAATTACCTTTTACTCTATCAGGTTGCGTTCTAAAAATTCTCATTTGAGACAGAATGTGATAGGAAGCATCTTCAAGTCTGTCTTTGACCTTTATGTCAAAAAAAGTTTAAAGTATAATTGTAAACAAAATACGACAAGTAACTCTAGATTTTGCAAATTTTGATCTTTTAACTCGTGTTTCCTTTAGTTTCAGTAGTGAGTCATCTGGCATGACTTAAGGGGCCGCATTGAATTTCTCTAAGATTAGGTGGCAATATTTGGATGCATTTGGATGCACCAAAAACAAATACCAATCTTAACTGCTTTACATAGCTCGTAACATTGTTTCTGATCTGTTGACATTTTTTAATATTGTTTCTGAAATGTTGACAAAGCTTTCTCCATTTGGAAGAGCTTTAAATTGAGGATTATATTAACATCAGAAAGAAATTTTCCCACAGGACCTACAAATCCAGTACTGCATCATGTTGGTCCATCAATGCCTTCTATAAGGTGAAGCAAAAATAATTCATTCAAATGAAGCATGCATATGGCCCAGTGGCATTTGTGACCTAACAGCTTTTCAAGGTGCGTTATAGCACCACCTTTCCAGCCTGTGTTAATTGAAGTACTGTCAGCTCCAAGTACTAAACATGATTCAGTAAGATTATGTTGTTGCAGCAAAATATAACCACCTTCAGCAATCTTTTTAACTGGCTTATCTAGATGATAAGGTGCATTTGGGGTAAAATGACCAAGATATTGACCACCAGGTTCTATAGTCACAGTAATGTGCTGCTCTTTGATAATAATAGGATGTAGCTGTCCATTTGAATCATTTATCATTGCTCTTGTTGAATCTTTCCTTCTATCAAAGTAAATGGCAATATTATCTGCTTTTGGAAGTTTTAAATTATCATTTTTCTTCGCAACTACCATGTCCTTTTTTCTCGGTCTCATCAACTTAGAAGGATCACAAGCGAGGTAAAAGGACTCAGGGGTGAGAAACCCTGCTTCAATTAAATCTTGAAGATAACTTGTAGCAATTGCTGCAGTTGCGGCAGGTGAAATCCCAAACCTATAAAATAAGAATGGTTCTTATTTATTTTTATTAACTCATGTTGCTGCTCAACAAAACAATAGTCAATATAATTACCTTATACTAGCCATAGATGTGTTTTTTATTGACATTGTGTTATATCTTGACTTCTTTTCTAAAAACTGTGTTACAAGGAAAGCATAGACACCTAACTTTTCCTTTAGCAGCCTTTCAACCAACACCTTAATTTCATTATCTTGTTTTAAAGTTAAGTTAACATTATCTGGAATATAGTTTTCATCAAGAAAGCCAGGAAAAATATTTTTTTGATATTCTTTATCTAATTCTATATCTTCTTCTGTGACCTAAAGCCAAATTAAAACCAAAATAAATACACACACACAGATATATATATATATATATATATATATATATATATATATATATATATATATATATATATATATATATATATTATTTTATTTTATTATTATTATTATATATATTTATTATTAAGAAATTATATTTACCTCGAAGAATGCTTGTTCCTCCTGTATTTTTTTAATTCTTTTCTTTTTCATTGCTGACTTTTCTCTTATACTTTTTTCTTAGTTTCATTGTCTCAAGCTTATCAGTATGTCCCATCTGCATGTCAGACTTTTTACCTGTCTTATTTCTTTGACTGTATAACCACCTGAGCTCCATAGTCAGAATTTTTTATGATAAATATAGGTGCAATTTATATGTGCTTTATTTTTACAATTTTTTGGGGAAAAACACACAAACAGATCATGCTCGCATAGAAGTATTAAGTGAGGACATGTTATGAGGTCCATTAGTTTATCTAATTTTAATATAAGCTCTCCTTTTACTTTTAGCTTAGTTCTTCCCCAATAATAACTGGTTGTTGAAAGAACAAGTGGAATTAGATCGCTAGCAAGATCTTTGTTAGAATATTTATTTTGGTGTAAATTGCATGTTATGCTTTTTTGTTCTTTTAATAAAATTCCTTTTTGAATAAATGCTCTGTTTGTAGGCAGCTCACTAGGAATAAAATCTTTTCCAGGTCCAATAAACTCAGAAATTCTAATGGTGGATGAATATCTAGTCTTAACTTTCGACATTTATGAATAACTCGATGATATAACGAATAAAATATTTACAGACTACAATCTTGTTATGATGTTTTTTACGGCGGAGAGCTAAGTCAGATTTTTTTCAAACATTGATTTGGCACTGCGCTTATTATGAGAGACTAAATATAAAACCGGATTAAATTTACTTAATAATAATTTGAGTATATTTCATTTTAATGTCTAAATATGAAAATTTGGGTATCAAAACGTTTTCTAATCGTCCATAGCAAACCTACTTTAAAATTTAATTTTACATAAGAATACACCTTTTCCTAAGCTTTAACTTTATTTTTTTCAAAAACATGAAATTCACTGTTCCCTACTATAGCTCTCTGTTCTCAGAGATAGCATAAGAGTGTTGAGGCTTAACTGATTCAGTCTGTCTATGATTGAATCAGAAAATAGTTCTTTTTTGATCACAAGTTGATGGGAGTTCTTAGCCTTGATGAAATTATAAACATGTATCAAGACAGGCTTACACACTTTGAGCTTCTGATTGATCCAATTTTTAAAGCCTAAATAGGTTTGCATTAGTTATTTGTAATAAAACAACGGAGATATTTAGAAGTTTGGAGTTTCACAACTGAATAAAGTTAAAGGCCGAATGTTTTGTCATGAAAACAAAAGGTTTCTTGAAAAGAAAGTTCCAACTAGAGTGAATATGACAGTTTATGAATGTTTAGAGTGTTTTTGGAGATTATTATCTATAGTATCTGATAAAATATGTAGTAGGAATGAAGTTTTTTTGACATTGATGCCAACTAGTTTACCGGCATTTGGTGAAGCAAATAAATTAGTGTCTAACGTTCTTAAATTTTGAACTTTTAGACTCGAAAAAAGAACAACAAGCTTAAAAACCTAGTAAGTTGATAATTATTCAGAATTTGTTTATTTTTTTACCTCTTTATTATTTGGGTCCGTCAATTATAATAAACAAAATGTTGTAGGATGTATCAAAGATTTTTTTTGTAGGGCGTATCCGAAGAAGAACTTTTGCGGCAACAACAAGCATTAATTGCTCAGGCACGAGCTGAACAAGCTCAGGTAATATTTTTCATTCTTTTTTATTTATACTGTTTCTGTTACTTACCTAACTGTTTTATTTATTTTTGTTTACTTATAGGAAGAGTGGGTTCACTTACAGCAACAATGTTTTCTCCCTACTTCCTCAGGCGCTGGTACAGTTCAAATGCAAAACATGCATACGCTGCAAGTACATTCCGAAAATGGAATCAATTCTATTGGACAGCATTCTTCGATGGACTACACACATTGCCTCGACAAGAGTATGAACAATTCATTTGTATCAAATGACTCTAACGAAAATGTTCACGCGCTTCAAAACGGACTTAATCATTCTGATCCTCTTGGTAACACGTGACCTAATAATGTGACTAGTTTTGATTAGGTGGAAAAAGTGTAACCATACGCTCTCTGGTTGTTTATGAGGTCCTTTTTAGGCGTTAAAATAATACTAACGTTTTAGCATGCAGTTTGCATTGTTGCAGTGTTTCATGTATGATATGGTATCTTATTACACGATGTTTTGTAGATTTGGTTTAAAGAATGCTTCTCATTGCAATAATTTTATCAAACATGCGAAATCGTTGCGGTATTGAATGCATTTTGATTTATCTTTTTCATCAAGATTGTTTAATATTTCATTGTTCTTGTTTAGTTACTGCATAATCATTGCGATTCTAGGTGCTTGAATTGTTTAAACCTTTTTAATAGGCTGACATGAAGTAGAAGGTTAAAATGGACATTTTGAATCATCTTTTTACTTTTTAACTCTTTTTACAAAAAAAAAAAAAAAACTTTACACTAAAACTAAAATTACACAACAATACACAATTTATAAAGTGTTACTAAAGAAATTGTTTTTTTGTTTTTCTAAACATAAATAATTGACTTGTGCGATTGTGAGATGACCAAAGATATTTTGCTATTCATATAAAAAATTACAAACAATTATTACATAAAAATAAGGATTTATAAAAACAACATGTGAATACAGGTGAAAAGTATAAGTTTAAAGTATATTTTGTTAAAAATGCTTTCGTAAAAAACTCCTTTTATATATAAATAATAAAGTTTTAATCAGATAAATTTAATGTAAAGGTGAGTTTCCACTCATCCGTTTTTCTACGGGAACGGAAAAAAAAATCACGTGAGCATGCGCAGTTTTCTTTCGGACAAATAAAAACCTTTATTACGCATGCTCACGTGATTATTTTTTCCTTTCCTATCCCGTTCCCGTAGAAAAACGGATGAGTGGAAACTCGCCTTAATGCGAATGTGTTTTAAGTCTTAAATAATATTATTTTCAAATGGTTCTTTAATGACGTACTTCAATTGTTAAATATTATTTTCAATTGGATAATGTCGCGCCTCAATTGAAAAAATTAATACCTCTGATTTTACTTAAGCAATATTTGTGGTTGGTATTTCACTGTTAGTATTAAAACGATTTTTTTTTTTTTCTTTAAATTTTTACAACAACATATTAACTACAAAATTTTTTTACACTGCGATAACATAAACAAAATAACCTTCCAATACAAAAAAATCAATATTTTACAAAATACCGTTAATATAAACATAGGAAGTAATAATTAAATATGGTATGACTTGATAAGGGTTTTGACTGTTGTAGGGAACTCGTAGAAGACTGAGTTTAGTCTTATCATTGAGAACCTTGGAGTGTTGCGTAAAGTACACATATAAACATTATGATTCTTATAAAACAAATATTTTAAATGTCATTGAGGTAGACTTTTCTTTTTTTTTTTTTTATACTATGTATGGTGTTAGTGTTGTGGTTTATAATAATAATATCATCTTTATTTTTTAATTAAAAAAAAAAAAAAAATTCATTTTCATTTTTAATTGATTGCTGATTATTTGAATGTGAGCGTAAATATTAATTTATCATTGGAACTAAAACATTTCTAAGTAATTATCTGTATTGAGAACATGGTTTTTTAGTTTTTTAGTTTTGACTTTAAAAAAGTTATATTGTCAGCAAGAGAAATCGAGGTATAATTCGGAATTAGTTTGTTATATAAATAAGGGCCGCGGTAAGAAATAGAGAATTGAGAATTTCTTTGTCTTTTCTGGGGTACAATAAAGTTACCAGTTGATCTTGTGTTAAATTTGTTGAGATTAGATTGAAAGAATTTTTCTGTGAATCGGTTTGGAACTAATCCTAATTAGTATTTTAGCATGAACAATATATTAGCATAGATATTAATTTGGTAAATATTTAGCGTTTTCATTTCATTTAATAGGGATTTAGCGTGGGTCCGTTTGTTCTAATGATTATTATTCTGGAGGCATGTTTTTGTCGTCGATAAAGGGACATTAACTTTGTCTTGTGTGTGCTTCCCCAAGCAATGTTGGCATATGTGAGATAACTATGTATAAAGGAAAAATAAAGAAGTTTTAGGTTTTTTTACGATAAAAATGGTCTAACTTTATAAAGTATAGCAATACTTTTAGATATTTTAGTGTTGATGGCATTTATATGGGCTGTCGATGAAACATTTTCGTCAATAATCACACCAAGAAGTTTAATTGTTTGGGTTTTTTCAATTTTTTTGTGTTCGATACTTAATGAGGGTAGAATTGATGGTAGTTTATTTTTCTGTTTCTTTGAGTGAAATAAAATATATTTAGTTTTTTGGGCGTTTAATGATAACATGTTAGCACTGAGCCATGTTTTAAGTTTTCGAAGCTCAAGTTTTTGATATATCTAAAACATTTATGCATTACAGGGGATTTTTCAATCCCCTGTCAATCAAGTGACAATTTATAGAATTCCAATAAAATCTGAATGACTCCTATAGGAATAAACTATTATTCTATAAAAAAAGAAAGAATATTACTTAACTGTTATGTACAGTTAAATCCTATTGGATTAAAGTCACGATTTTTTTAATAGCGTAGTATAAAAATATTTCTACTGTCAGACAATCAATACGGTTTTTGATCCTCTCGCTCTACGGCCGACTTGCTAACTGCTGTAACTGAAAGATTTTATCGTGCATTAGATGGAGGCGGTGAGGCTAGGGCTATTGCTCTCGACATATCTAAAGCTTTCGACAAAGTTTGGCATGCTGGTCTTCTCCATAAGCTTGCTTCATATGGTGTTTCTGGGAAAGTTTTTGAGATTATCAAATCAATTCTTTCTAACCGATTTATTAAAGTCATCCTTGAAGCCCAACACTCTTCTTTATTTCCAGTAACTTCTGGGGTTCCCCGAGGTTCCATCCTGGGCCCTGTTTTGTTTCTTATCTAAATAAACGATCTTCCTGACAACCTTTTATCTAAAGTAGCTCTTTTTGCTGATGACTCAACTTTATACTCCTGTCTTGACAAAAAGTCTTCTCTTTTCGATTGCCTAGAACAAGCAGCTGATCTTGAATCCGATCTCACTTTAGTAATAGATTGGGGTTCACAGTGGCTTGTGAATTTCAACTCTAACAAAACCCAGTTGTTTACTGCAAACAACTACCGTAATATGGTCAACATTGCTATATTAATGAATGGCAATCCTCTTACTGAGTCCTCCTCTTTATGTCTTCTTTGATTATCGCTTACTACTGACCTTTCATGGAAATCATATATACAATTGATTGCTAAATTAGCTTCTGCTAAGGCTGCTTCTCTTTACAGTGCTCGCCATTTCCTTACTTCTGATTCCATTCTCTACCTCTACAAATCTCTTATTCGTCCCTGTATGGAATACTGTTGTTATATTTGGGCTGGTTCTTCTAACGATTCACTTTCTCTTCTTGACAAGGTCCAAAATCGCATTTTAAATGTTGTTGGACCTGGACTATCTGCTAAGCTTGAACCTCTTTTCCATCGTCGTAAAGTTGCAGCTCTTTCTCTTTTCTACAAATACTATCATGGTCACTGCTCAAAGGAGTTATCATCTCTAGTTCCATCAACTAAAATTCATTCTCGTTTTACTCGTCATTCAGCTAAGTCTCATTCGTTTACTGTATCTGTCCCTGCATGCTCTAAAAACTTTTATTCATCTAGTTTTTTTCCCCGCACTTCAATCCTTTGGAACTCTTTCCCATCTTCATGTTTTCCTGACTCATACAACCTTCAACTTTTCAAGTCTTCTGTCAACCGTTTCCTTGCTCTATAACTCTGTTCTCTTTTTTTTCCTAGTAACTCCCAACTTAATAGTGGTTGCTTGCAGCCTTGTTGGGAGTGAATGCCAATAAAAAAAAAAAAAAAAAATTTTCAATACGTGGTATGTGCAATTTTGTTTTTATGTGCTGATATAAGTAATGTTTAATGAATAAAAAGTTTTGCGCATGAAAGTAGAATTAATTATTATTTATATGTTTATTTATAATAAATAAATTTTCAAAGTTGTTTGTATATATAACTATTTGTTACTATTATTTATTTTTTGTTTTGTGAATTACTTAAAGTTTTTTTTTTAAGTTGGCACATAAAAATAAAATTGCGCATACCGCGTTTTGAAAATAAACTCTTCAATTATAAATTGAAAAAAAAAAACTATGTAAATAAAACGTTCTATTTTATGTTGTATGTAAATTAAACATTTTATTGCAATGTATTATTTTTTAATCGGATTTGTGATTACTTACCATGTAAATTTACCAGCAAATTTATAAATTTGTCTTTGGCTGCAATAAGGCTAAACCCGCCACTATTTTTTTTTTTTTTTATTTATTTATTTTTTATTTTTGCCGTTTAATATTACAATAACTAAATATATTTTACAATTTTTTACATTAGTAACGACAGGACTTCTAGAAGATCATGAGGATCTTGTCATGAAGTCCTTTACAATATATGGTTAACTTTTAATAAAAATACAATGTCTGTAGTGAAATAATAATACACCTCTATGCAAAAATATTTAAAAACCAAGATAAAATGTTAAAAAGTCAAGATAAAATTTTAAACCAAATAATATACAAAATAAAACAACAACAAAAACAAAACAAAAAAAAAAGGCAATTAAAAATAAATCAAGATATTTTCAATTAAGAATATAATTTTTTTAAGTTTCTGTTTGAATGAAGCAAAAGTCATTTGGGTTGAAAAATCAAAATTTGGTTAGACTTTTTTGTTCCAGAGATAAGGACCTCGGTAAGAAATAAAAAGCTGGTCTTTTTTAAAGCGATTGTTAAAGGAATAGCTCCCATTTCAAAAATAGAATCATAAAATTTTTAACCTTAATGTCCGTAGAGTAAAAAAAGCAATTAATATTGAAATCCCATTCATGATTTTTTGTTTTCAAGGATGCCTTTTTTGAAAAGGTTTTCTTCAAAATACATGCTCATGTTCTCGGCCACACCGCGGTGTGGCCGAGAGTATGGCCTCCGAACGGTACACCGTTCGGAGGCCTATAGCAACAGCTCAGTAAAATGTTTTTTGATCGAATGATTAGAATTTAAATAGTTAAAATTTAAGTGTTGCCGTCAGCAACACTTAAATCATTCCTAATGATTTTTTTTTCTTCACATAAATAAGAACTCCCCCACCGCGTTTATTGATAAGTCTCTCCCCCACCGCGTTTATTGATAAGTCTCTCCCCCACCGCGTTTATTGATAAGTCTCTCCCCCACCGCGTTTATTGATAAGTCTCTCTTGAGAAATTAACTCAAAGTAA